CCCCGCCCGCCATGAGCCGCGCCGCGTACGCGCACGAAGGCAGCGCGCCGGGGAGGGACATCTGGTGCGGCGTGGCGGACGGCCCGGCAGGGCCCAGCCCACCCATGGGGGCGCCCACCGTGGCGGCGTGGGCCAGCGTCGCCGACAGCTCGTCGTCGGAGAGGTCCAGCCCCACTAGCGCGCTGTCCTCGCCCAGCGGCGAACCGCCACTCCCGAACATGTGGTGGTGGTGATGGTGGTGATGGTGGCCGTAAGGGCCGAGGCCTTGACTCATACCGCGCCCGCTGCGGAGGTGAGGCACACGTTACCGATGGGAGGTCCCCAGAAAGAACACAAAAGAGCACAACTGCTCACCTGGTGTGATACGGCGTTGGTGACGACGACGACGAGTCAGCGTGCGTCGTGACGACGCGCACGCCTCTGGACGAGCAGGACGAGGACGAAGGCTGTGGACTGGGGCCCCGCCCCTGGGGGCTGTGGCTGCCGCTGCCCTTGCCGCCACCGCCGCTACTGCTGCTCACCACGGCCGCCGTGACGGTCGTGTTCTGTTGCTGGAAGCGGTACACCAGCTCCCTGGAGAGCGTGACGGAGGGCGAGTCCCTCATCGTGATGAACGCGTTGCGGGACGCGGTGCGGGACCTCCCCAGATGGAAACACACTGGTAGTCTAGCGCGCGCCTCGCCGTGCAACCTGTCGATCTGCTCGTCCTTCTAGAGACTGACCCCCCGCCGTCCCGTCGCAGTCTGGACCGCTCCGCCGGGCCGGGCGGGGTGCGGCTCCCGCGGCGGGGGTGTGGGTGGGCGTGGCCAGGCGCTCCACTCGCCCCGCGTCTGCGTCCTGGTTGGTTCGCCGAGATTGGCGCCGGCTTCGCATTGGCTAGCCGCTCGGTGTCTGCGAGCTATCGACCAGCCCCGTGTCACTTGCAGGAGTCGTCAACGAGCGCCCCGCGGCGCGAAGGGCTGCTGTGGAACCGTTCAAGGGAAAACGCGAACCGTCCCTTCGTGCGAATTATTCACCCGTTGTAAAAACGGAAGGCAGACCTGCTGACGCCTAGAGATGATGTTGTGTATAGTCTTGGGTCGTATTCGAACGAACACGAACAGAAATTTTGAAAAACAATTTGAACTGAACACTTTAGTGTTCATGCCCCGAACGAACAGTCCTCGAAATTTTGCAAACTAAGCAAGCGGGGGAAAAAAGTGTGCCTCACCCGTATCTGTGACGGGCCCCGCGCAGCTA